TGAATGCAGTCGATATAAATAAAAAATCATTATCAAAAAATGTGCATCCTACAAGAGAAATTTTTGTACCTAGGTGAGCTAGCCGTGGGTAAAATTAATTGAGATAGAAAAAATTTTACCGGCGCCGTAGAGGATTAATTCAGTCCGTGAAATATGTAGACTGACGTTATTGTGTTATCCGGCAATTCGCTATACAATGATCCTACAATTCCCTGTAATTTATTTGGTGACAATAAACTTATTATTATTAATGATTTCACACAAATATATTTATTATTTGCAAATTTGGTGAAGTATTCGTTATTTGCTATAACTGCGTAATCGAAAGCAGAGAAACAGAGCGTTTCTTTTGAAAATTATATATAGAAATTGTTTTTTTAGACAAAATTAGGTACTCCATTATTCATGTAACAAGCCATATTAAATTTCAGCGTAATTAGTAAAAAAAATACTTTTCAATACAAACGAACTTTAATTAAATATTTCCACACTGTAAATAAAGAGCTTAAATAAACGTCTTAACATTTTATAAGCAAAAATAACATTACATTCCGCTACATCAAAGAATTTCAATTACCTCAAAAGAGACTATTAAGAAGTTTCATATTTTGTACTAGTACATTATAAGTCGAACAATTTTCGAATCAGATGCCAAGATCTCCGCCTCGTTTAATTAAAATTAATCGAGGAATTCTGTTGGATAAGTAAAAATGCAAAATAAAAGTTCCACAGCTTAAGGGTTGATGTTGCAGTGTCGCAAACAGTCAGGGGTGGAAACCCATCCATTTTAGTTGATCTATTATACTTTTTCCCATATGTTCAAGTTTAGACGAGTCACTTCGTACAGAGTAATGGTGTTGTGAGTTTATACAATCATTACAGTCATTAGATCATTAAGATATCGCCAATAGAATCAAAGGTTTATTGTGCGTCGCTAACCAACGAAACCATACACCTTTGTTTTTATTGGCTATTTCTTAATGACCTAATGATAGGGAGGTATTGATAATGATTATATAAACCCACCATAAGAAAATGAGGTTAATTTACAATTCAGAAATCAAACAATATTTCAATATCTAGAATTCCTCTTTGTTAACGCGTTTCTTTTTAGGTTATGTCATATGTAGTAATTTAATTACCTTTGTTTTACCTATATCGCAATCCGAAACCCGTTTATTAATGGTGTACGTAAGTTCGAATTAATTGGAATTTGGTGCGATTTTTGCATTGTATCTTTGCGATATATTTTTCTGTGTACGTTACTCGCTTTCGAATTAAAGAGTGCTACCTGTGGATTAGCCGGAACTGAGCTATTACGTTGTCAGTAATATCGAAGAATCGCTAAGCAAATGTTATCTCACTTACCGGAAATTGCAAAAGTGCAGGTAACCTGTTGGTAATTGCTTTTGTCGTTAGTTTATCTTTCTGTTTATCTTTGCCAATATATATACTAGGTAACTTTTGCAACTATCATCACTCTATACCATAAATCGCCCCAATTCCCTAGATGTAGCTATTCTGAAAATTTTAAGCGGATTTCAAATTTGCATACTCTTCATTATCTTATCTGGATTTACTTATTTCCACAGCAAGCGCTTTTCTTATCACAACAACCTCCTCGAAATTGCAACGACCAAACTTTCAGATTCTATCTTTCATAAACATATAGTAGGGGAGCTAGCACGAAATCCACTGAACGAGAATGATCAAAATTTTAACCGATGGAGTTCCATTTTGCCCTATCAGAGTATGCTAAAATCGATCGTCTGCCGCCTCAAGTCATATGACTTAAGGCGCTGCGGGTACTTCTTGCGGTGCCAATTCTGAAAGGTTGTTTTTCGAGAAAATAAGTTATCCACCAAATGAAAACGTTGATAATAGCTCTTAAAAGATATTTAAAAAAATCGCGCACATTTGATAACTCCGTAAAAAAACATTTCTTAGTCGGTTTTTCACGAACTTTCTGCGGATATAACTAGGTTACGGTTGGATGAATGAAGCTGATTTTTCTTACAGACTAATGATAGGCACAGCTAATTATAAAATATCTTATAATGTTCAGATGATAAGATAGTCTTATAATTATTATAATTATTATATAATTAGAGAAAAAATTTAAAAACGAAACACCGTTAAGTCATTAGTAGTACCTATCATCAGTCTGTAAAAAAAAATCAGCTTCATTCGTCTAACCGTAACCTAGTTATATCCGTAGAAAGATCGTGAAAAACCGACTAAGAATTGTTTTTTTACGGAGTTATCAAATGCGCACGATTTTTTTCAATATTTTTTTAAGATTAATTATCAACGTTTTCATTTGGTGTATAACTTATTTTCTCGAAAAACAACCTTTCAGAATTGGTAAGGGAAGAAGTACCCGCAGCGCCTTAAGTCATATGACCTGAGGCGGCAGACGATCGTTTTTAGCATACTCTGATAGGGCCAAATGGAACTCCATCGGTTAAAATTTTGATCATTCTCGTTCAGTGGATTTCGTGCTAGCTCCCCTACTAATAATATTTCCACAATTTCTGCAAATAAATAAAAGTTCTGGAATCTGGATAATATTAATTTGCGTGCATTTGAAATTCCCTTACAAGTTGAAAAAGTACCTTGCGCCCGACCACCGAATTGCCTCCCCTATTGAACAAGAATTGCATTTTTGAAATGGTTACTTCTATTCGCTCGGTATGTTTTGGGCGGGAGTAAAATCATCCTAACACCACACATTGTAGAGTGCTCTTTTATATTCTGTGGTCATCACGCGTAACGCTCGGCAGGCACAGGCGAGCTCGGCACGCTCACCCACACTACCTTGTTTAAAGCAATTTTGTCCATTTGAAAGGAAATATGGCATTAAAATCGTGGATGTGTCTTTGAAATTGATTAATATACATATTTGAAGCGTAATGGATGGATTCAAAGTAAATAAAAATAATATAAAATAAAATATAATAAAATTTGAATTCATTTATACAGGTATGTCATAAGTTTAACAAACTAAATTTACTTGCAATGCTATTACAGGTTTCGTAGGTATGAATGATTCAACGGAAAAAGGAACTTGATCGATTTCCGTGCATCTTATTCAAACATACTAAAAAGTGTAGAAAATAACTAGAAATATCGGTGAGGTGCCGACTATTCGTAATCTAGTAAGCATTTTCTGACATCGTGACAACTTCCTTGATTTTTTTTTCGGAAATTGTTGGTATTTCCGCAATAATTGTCAGTAATAGCAGCCTCGGAAGGTTGCTCGAAATTGAAAGGTTCGTTACAACGTTGACATTATGTCTTAAACGAAACGATGAATAGCGCAATCATATTCTTATTTGTAAATAAACCATCTGCGGGCTTAATTGGATCTAAATATTAACGAGTTAACAATAAGAGGGTTGCTGAAAATCAATAATCGCTTTCCAGTGAACAGCTTTAAAATACTGCCTGCTCATCGTTATCATGCACTTTACTTTCGACTATAATAGTTCGTATACATTATTGTGTTTGTTAGGGGTACCAAATTTGGATATTATTATTACATTTGCATGCTGACTATGGGTCTTATGCATTAAACATGATAACTCGATTTTGAATACAGACCATCTCAATACGAATGGCCCTCTCCCACTCCGTTCCAAACGTTTAAATTTCCATTTCTTTTCAAGACTTTTTGTGCGAGCTTTCTGCTGGTTTTCGGCGGCGAAAGAATTATTTTGAGCTGTCACAAGTTAACGGGGCTACGTTACAAGTAGTGGTGCGTTTTTAATTATTTCATACTGTTACGGACGAAAAATAAAAAATAGGAGGTCCCAAATTCAAATATCATGATCAAAATTTGTGTTCAATCTCAAATTAAAGCTTAAAGAAAATTGAAATTCACATACCTGGTGACCAAACATTATTATCAACTTTCTGTTCAGCTGCTTTGAAGAGAGGTACAAACTATAAGGGCATGACTGGGTACGCCTTAAACTTCCCTATGTAAAAAAACAACTTTCTTCAATAAAAGAGCTAGTCTTTAGCATACGTTTCACACTCAACATCAGGAAAATGATTGCCGCTATTCCGGAAGGAAACGTTTTCGAATTTAAATTAAAGCTCTATCTTTTACCCAACTCCACTATAATTTTTCTTCTATACCGGTTTGAATAAATTTTGCAGTGTGAGCTCCCTACACTAATTGTTGCACAACTCTGCTTAATTTTGCGTGCAGTGGTGAACAAAAATCACACCAGTCACAAATGTTGACTAATTGAGATACGGTGCGCCGCTATATTTAATTATTATTGCTTTTCTTAAGCGGAAAGTACACGTTCTCTTCAATTATAGTACGAAGCGAGGAAGAACCTTTTCCTTATTAATTCAATGAAACTAATTAGTTGGGAGCAACTATCAGTAGGTATAGTAAGTTTATGTCAACTCTCAATCTATTGATAAATAAAGACAAAGGTGTCTTGCACAGCACGCAGTAAACTCTAACAACTTCCGTGGATGAAAAGTATTAAACACTTGTAATTATGCCTTACGATCTGAGAATTACAGCATAATTAACGTACATATAAGATCAGTCAATGTAGTGCTAGGTAAATATTAATCCGTCAAGTTCGATTATTGCGATTGTTATGTAAATATTCTACAGAAACTTTTAGAAGACAGAAATTTGTAAAATACTTCCCAAATTGGGTTTAATTCTATGGCAAATTTATTATAATTATAGGTTTTACGTTGGTGATGATAGTCATTACTGTTTTTCATAATAACATGGCATTAAGTGATTGCACTCGATTTGGATGAAATTGCAAAAGGTTAAAGTTTTCGTATTTCAGCGGTGCTGACGAACTTAATTAATTCTTTCAAAATCTGCGTATAAAAAAAACTAATTTAGTTAACATCCTTAATAGCTAAATGAATTCAAGGACACAAATCTTAGGTACCCCTTTGAAATGGTATGACATTCCGCAAGGTCTTCTTTTAGCTCATCTCCCACACAAATAAAATTAACGAATGTACTTTCACCTACAATAAATCTAGGACTATAAATATGTGCGGACGCTACTACCAGTCATTGTTAAAGCGGAAGACATCCGCTAAAGAGTTGAATTTGCTTCGCTTCTTTTAACAGTAAAAATAACATCAAGATGCATTCGTTATCTGTTGTGGTAAGTCCAAGTGACGTGCATCTATGCGGTTTGAAACGATGTTGTTTTTAGGTTTGCGCCTTATTCGTACAGTGCTTAGCCGGGGCCGTTGAAAAACGGGAAGGTGTGTACAACATTTGATTGTTACAATTATGTTATGTCATAATTTCAGCTCCTCTACCCTCTAATACGTACTTACCGGCGAATTCAGGATTTGGGGGAGGTCACTCGCAAAATGGCTACAATTATAATGCACCCCAGAATTTCGGAGGCGTAAGTGCTAACGGTGCGTTTAAAAGTTCTGGTTTTGGCGGCAAATCTAGTGTTAGTGGAAGTTACCTACCTCCTTCAACTAGCTACGGAACCCCCTCTCAACAATACGGGACACCCTCCTTCGGTGGTCGTGATTTCGGATCCAGACCCTCATCGCAATATGGAGCTCCATCTTTCGGTGGACAGTCCGGACATGGAAGTTTCGGTGGACATTCCGGGCATGGAAGTTTCGGTGGACATTCCGGAAGTTTTGGTCAACCATCGTCCCAATACGGAGCACCTTCTTCTGGAAGTTCATTCGGATCTAGCTTCGGAAAATCGTCGCCATCTCAAAGCTACGGAGCGCCTTCGCAGTACAGTGCACCCTCATCTCAATACGGCGCACCATCTTCTCAATATAGCGCTCCCTCTTCCCAATATGGCGCTCCTTCATCTGGATCGCACGGATTCGGATCTGGATTCGGTAAATCGTCACAAATCTCTCAACAGTACGGTGCTCCATCATCCCAATATGGTGCTCCTTCCTCCCAATACAGCTCACCTTCATCCCAATACAGCGCGCCTTCGTCACAGTATGGTGCTCCCTCGTCCCAATACGGCGCACCTTCATTCGGAGGATCTGGGTCTGGATTCGGAAAATCGCCATCATCTCAATACGGAGCTCCATCGCAATCGTACGGTGCACCATCCAAATTTTCATCGTCTCCATCTCAAAGCTACGGAGCACCTTCCTCGTTCTCTTCGCCCTCTCAACAGTACGGCGCTCCATCCCAGAGCTACGGCGCACCTTCAGGCCATAGCTCCGGACACGGTCATGGATCCCGTCCTTCATCTTCCTATGGAGCACCATCATTCGGCAGCGGAGGCTACTCTGGATCAGGATTTGGTGGCGCTTCATCCTTCGGTGGTGGACACTCGGGCGGTTACCAAGGACATCATGGAGGTTCCTCTCCCTCGCAATCTTATGGTGCTCCATCCGGCGGTCAGGGTTACGCCAACAATGGTGGGTATTCATATTAGAACGAATTGTGCATTGTAAACTAATTTGTAAATAAACATTAAAGTATTTATTGCATAAATTAGAAAAATAAATAATTTAACTGACCTATTTATTTTTTAGTAGCATCTTATTTCGATTGTGTTCTACATTTTTATGCACAGGGACACTATTACAGCAGATAATACATTCATGCATAACAGTCTTAAATTATATACATGGATATCAACAACAATACACTTTATTTTTTCACTAACCTCTACGTGTATAAAAGTTATTCAAAAAAGAAATATATACTAACCGTTTTATAGATTATACAAAATTATTACACATGATTCTTTACCTAAATTAAATAGGTACTAAGTTATTATTGAGACTACTTACGTAGCTTACTTAGGGAGTTACTTAATTATTTTAATGAATATTAAAATAATTATTGAATAAATGATATGTCGTTTTCAGTACATTAACTATCTTCTAAACCTTTTATGTTGCAACAATCACATCAAGATTAAGTAACACTTAATTTATTACCAGAAAGATTTACAACAGTTTCACAGTAACAAGGTATTTGTGTAGCAACGTGTGCGTAAAGTGAAAATAATAACAGATTACATTAATCTATGAACCATTATTTTCTTATTTATCTAATTGAAAATCCCGCCCTACACGTATTTAATAAACGTTCCCGTGGCTTTTTGAAAAAAATGTTTCGGATTTGTACTACGTTGATGAAATATGGGAATGTGTACAGCGTAATGTTTTGAATGAGAATGACCATTTAGTATAATTTACTGTAAAATATAATTTAAGTACTCACGGGATCATTGTGCAGAAACTTTCTTGATTTATTAACACTTTGCAGTTACTTACATTCTTTTAAAAGGCATGTTGGAACAACCGACTCAAACCCAAAGTGGTGACCTACTTCAAAATGAACTAAGATTAACATTACAATGGGTTGCTTTTAGAATTTGAATTATAAAAACTATGGGAATGCTTTACGTATACTGTCAGACATCGTGCATCGTGGTTGTGGGTATAGAAATTCTTTAAACCAGATTAAATTATATCCTCAAAGTTGAATGAAATGTTTACTATCAATGCGAGGAAGAGCCAGTATTCTTCATGTTTTTCAATTCCAATTTGTGAATCACAATACAGAGGTGGTAATGTCATTCGAAAATAATCTCATTCTAATGCAAAAGCGGCCATAAATGTCAATTACAAACCGCATCCTGCCAGTTGGATACTTTTTTCCAACCCTAATAGCAAAAGGGTTCTACAATTACAGTACAAAGCATTCCTTCATATTCAATATTGCATTAACGCATTGCATAGGCGTTTTCATTAATGACTTTTTGTATTATGTTTATTAACGGTGAATAATTCGCTGTTAAAAGCTTGCATCTCAATAGTCGATATCAGCACTACTATCGACACAGTTTCGTTCACAACCGTCACTGATTTCCAGTTTTCATATTACGTACAGTGAAGTTTTTGGGGTACACTATAAACAGGGATGCGCTAAAATTTTGATTCGGAAAGCTGATAATAACCCATAGTACAATATCCGACATAAGCTCAATCTTCGCTCATCTGATTATGGAGTGAAATACATTTTTTAGCAATCTTAATATGTAAACAAACACATTGGAAATGGGTTGCCTGAAGAAATTAAACCCTTAATTTATTAAATATTAATTACATTAATTTCAATTAATAGTAGTCTTGACTTAATTTTTTTAGGCAACCCATTCCCAATGTGTTTGTTTACATATTAAGATTGCTAAAAAATGTATTTCATTCGGTAAACAGATGGGCCAAGGTTAAACTTATGTGGGATCTTAGACTACCACAGAAACGATTCTATCTTCAAACATTTTTGAATTACTTTCTTCTGAATATTAGTTATTTCCAGAAAACGATGGATCATTTCTTATTTTACGTCAACCTGTTTTGCTAGCCCTTGACAACTTTCTCGTACTTGGTGAGAGAACACTAAACGACAGAAACATACAGGGGGTACAAATTAAAAAAATTGAGTGCTACAGAGACTCAATACAAGCATTGTATTCTAATAGACGAAGAGCCCAAACAACCGAAAATTTGGATTTTTTCTTAATATTATCACAGCAACCATAGCAGACGGAAGAATGGAATCTGCGACTTTAATTTTCGTGTTTGTTTTGTAAAGCTCTTCCTAAAACGCCAAGACCTCTAAACAACGATGTAAAAAATAATTCTTCTCTCGACAAATTTAGTATTTAGGGTTTTTTTTTGTAGAAAACAGCGAATCCTCCAATTGATCAGTAATTGTCTAGTTTCGCTGTTTTCATGGCCCTTTTGTTTATGAGTAGGAATTTTGGAAACATTTTTCAAGAACCAAAAAGGCAAATGTGTTAGTTTCATCCTCAAACAAAACATTCTGTACATTACAATGCTAAATCCGACTACTTTAGTGGTGTCTTCCATTATTAACGAGCGACCAAAAGCGAGTTTATGATTTTGGACTTCCGTCCGTCTGTCTGTGGACTCGATAACTCACTAACGGTTTCGAATTTTCCAATTCTGTTTTCAGCAATAGGTAGACAATGGTCAAGGGACTAAATGATTAAATTTTGGTCAATTCGTCAACCGGAAGTGTCCTTATGCAGTTTAATGCAGCCTAATTCTCTACTCCACCATATCAAAGTGTACGCATTGCAGAATACAGTCGTAAATGGTAACCAAAGAATTATTCCAGTTGCTAGAGCCTTCTAGAAATTCATTTTTGAGTCACTTCATCATGTTGAATATGACATCCTTCTTTCCATGAAAAGGAAAAAAATTCTGGCTTAATTGATCGGTAATCTAATTTATTATTACGCAAATGACAGAAATATTTTGGTTTTCAAGAAAGTTTTAAGGGGTTAAAGCAACAAATGTGACCAGAAGCGTGTACGTTTGAAACTAGATATGGAAATTTTGTTATCTTCCAAAAAGAACCTTGGGTCGCTACAGGAGACATTTTGTAACTCCTCAAAATTAATCTCTGAACTCACGCATTCGGCCGTAGCTATGTTGAATTTTTTAAATTTCCTATTATCAGTATTTTGTGAACAATTGTTAGGTACAGCAGGCTGAATTGTTAAGATTTGGTACTATTCACTTCCCTTTTGCACCTATTGTGGGCCTTTTTGCAAGTATCATCCAAACTTCTATATCTACAGATGTGTTTATATGAACTTCTCCTGGACCATACCAACACCGCAATGTCTCTTATTTGGCGAGATACGAAAAATTCGTCAAATGTAATTTTATATGCGACTATCCAATCGCATATTCAAATTTCCGGTTTAACCGGTAATTGATGCAACTTTTGTTTTTCAAATGCACTGCCTGTTTTTTTACGATATTTGAAAGGAGCAACCAATTAGCTGTACGACAATAAACTATGCATATGCACATAAAAAAACATGGAATTTCTAGCATGCCGTGTGCTGTCGGGATGTACAATATCTGTTGCATTACACGAGGAGATCGTATCTCGTAAAAGTAAATCTTCAAAACGGAACATTTAACAAGTTATTGTAGGTGTTTTCTGCACACGGCATGCTACATTTCATACATTTTCTAAATATTGAATAACAAATTTCTCTGTTTTTTTTGTGTATTAGCCATGTTAGCCATTTTTATGTTGTCGTACAGCTAATTGATTGCTCCTTTCAAATATCGTAAGAAATCATAGGCATTGCATTTGAAAAACAAAAATTGCATCGATTTCCGGTTAAAGTGATACTGGAAATTTCAAAATACGTTCGGATAAGATCGTAATATCACATACAAAACTATATTTGATAATTTTATCGTATCTCGCCAAATAAAAGAGATATTGAGGTGACCCTTTTATCTCGAACGCACTGTATTCACTCTTCCTCCTGAAACCCTGATAATAGGGTAACTTAAATGAAATGCTGATTTGAGTACGAGGATTTCCGAAACTCAAAAAAAGGTAATCGTTTTATGTCATAAAAATGAACACAATGGAGCTACTTTACCACCTTTCTAAAATTATAAATTCCAACTCCCCTTATTTTTAAAAAAATGCCGTAAAGAAAATTTTCATGGAAACATTTCATTCAGAAGAAGGTGCAAACATGATCCTAATTTTTTATTGTAATAGGGTGAATTTTTAGTCCATTATTGAGCCGTTAGTTTGGATTAGGGTAACAAATTAGTACCAAGCTACTGGTCAACTACAGACATTGCTTATGCCCGTAGGTATCATACTTTATTGTTGATTTTTTATCCTTTTTTAAACTTCTCAGTTCAAAAGTTATGGATACGAGTACTCCACTTTACCTGGCAAATTCTTACCGACCATTAATATCTGCCATTTACATGCCAATTTAATGGCATAGGTAGCCGATTTTTCGGTTTTCCAGATCCAGAAAATTTAACAGTGTACGGATACGCCATTTTTTTGAAAAAAGACCTAACCACAGCTTTCCCCTGAGGTAACTATTTAAGAATATATTAGGAATTTTGCATTATAGATCTCTTGTTACCTCGCACAAACCACCACTCTATAAGTGGATCATTGCATATTTTCAAGAGTTCCGTGTTTGATTTTCATTTGAGGTCTAAAATCCAGCAAAAGTTTTACATTTCTTTGTTTTCTTTCTATCTGAAAGAGGAATTGCAATAATATTGCACCATAACGGAAATGTATAATTCGCCTATCAACAATTCAAGCAATAATCCCCATTTGCACAAAAAAAGCTCTCAGTTGTGCTGAATACATTAAACATTTCCATGACCCAAATCAGAATTGAAAAACTTAAATGCGACTGGGTTCTCCCCACACCTATGCTCTAAACCACTAGGTAGGTAATCAATTAATTGTATGTCCACGCAATTTAACGGGAATGTATACCATTTGTGTTACTTCGCCGGCATTACCCCACAGCATGTCATACTGTTATTTAGCCATGTAAGTTCTTATAATAAAGGACTTTTTATGTGCTCGATTCTCCGTCGTCGGTCTGCCTGTCTGGTTGTCTGTCTGTCTGTCCTAGAGACTTCGGCTTTTCGCTAATTGGTCTATATTTGCCCGTTATTCAACATTTACAGTTGCGTTACGCGGCAACACCGGCGAGTAGGGTTTGAAAATTTTTTTAAATGTAGAACTTTAATAATGATATTCAATTGAGTAGTTCACGGTTCCTAAAGTCTGGAACATTTTGATACCTGGAAATCATTATAATATAATCTGGAAAATAGGTTTTTCTAGATCATAAACGTCAAATCACAATCTATATAATGTGCAGATGATACTAGTGTGAGTAGATTCTGAATTTACTGTTGAATGATTTTTAAGATCATGGAAGAGTCAAAAGGAATCGCAGTAAACGGAGTCATTTCCAATGAGTATAAAATTGTAAGCGATTTTACCATGATACCAACAGGTACTGACAATAAAATGCTTCATTGTCCTAACTTTTTGGATCGCAGTCCTAATAGCTCTTGTTACATTCAATTTGCTCGAGAGATTTACTTCGTAAAGTACGTCGTTGTCTTGGGCGTATACAGTGATGAAGTTGACCATGCTGATGAAGAGTACTTACAATACTTACATAATTTATACTCATTTGCACATTTAGCTTATTTATATCTCGATCGCGTCCAAATGTTACACACAATCTTAATTAAATGCAGTGTAAGAACCTTATTGATTTGTTCCCTATTTTGGTGACGTATTTTCAAACTAAAAACGTAACTAAATCTACAAAGTAGGTACTACTGTTAGCGTGAGTCCGCATTATGTGCCAAATAATTGTGTTGTCGGTAATTACGTTATTACCCTAGCTTTTAATAATTACCCTAATTGAAAACTTTCTCGAACTCCATACACGAATCTAGAATAAATAACTCCGTGCCGTCTCTTTTTCCGCTAATACTGCTTATAGTATATGATACACATTTGTACAACACTTACTTTAAAAGAGCAACAATGATATGCATTAGTTGAGTAGGAACGGATTCCTTGATATGTTTAGTTACGTTTATACAAGAATAACTTACTTTCGATGCAAATATAACTTTGTTAAATAAATATTAATAATTCGAACAATCCTACAACTTTGTTTGCAACTAGAAATAGTGCAAATATATGCCGACCAGCGGCTGTTTAAGACCTACATAGCACCTAACCAAGGAGGGTATTATTAGGTTGCATTTTAGAATTCCGCTATAGTGTGGTTTGCACTTCACCTGGATTAATATTGCCTTTGGTACCGCCACCGCTTCCTACAGATGCCTTTAACCGTTCCACCTCAGCTTGTGGGATGTCATCGTCGGCCTCAAGTGCTGGGTTTACTCTACCGTTCCTTTCATCTTTGCCAACCATAGTGGCAGACCCGTACATTTTTCCCATTGCACCCGATGCCATTACAGACATTTGTTCACCGTCTTCCGATGGTTCACCGACCCTCTGCACATCTTCAGGAATATTAACTACGCAGCGGAATATGTCATATCCTGGTGCTAATCGACCAGTTTCGAACACCCATTTTGACCACCACGATACTAATATTAATGTAATTAACGAAAGTAACATCGCCATCGTTCTAAAAGGAAACAACTGCACTTGGTTTACTTCGTCCCATCCAGGATAATGTATAAATGGTTCCAAATGCATCACCGGTTCTCCTCCAGAAAGACGTACAAAGAAAGCTACTATGTAAGCAGCTAAACTACCGTACGTATTACAGTAATTTTTAAAATGCACTACCATCAACAGTTGTGGGAACAAAATTACATACACGAGATCGGAGCACATCGACCTTGAACCAGAGCGGTCATAATAACAGCACAGATTAGATTCTACTCACCATAATCCATAGATAGAAGGTATAGTTAAAGCCATAATCGTAGAAAGTACACCAACAATAAATATTGAAACACGCATCACCCAAATAATTTCCATTTCGGATGCTCGTTGTCTAAATATTAACTTATACACATTTCTCGCAAACATTGAACTAGCGGACAGCACGCTTGAATCGGCGGATGACATAACGGCAGCCGATACCGCACCTAATCCAAAGAATGATACGAAATCGGGTGTTAAATATTGCAGCACCATCGGCAAAATCATCGGTGTTTCTACGTCGCTCAACGGATATGGACCTTTATAGGCTGTTTCATTCCATGCTAATGATTGGAGAATGTTACCATTGCTATATTTGTATCGGCCATATTACCTGTGGCTTTTGCGATTGCACCAATCAGAACCGGAGGTATGGCCATTAAAACGCATCCAAATGCAGCAACATACGACAGTACTTGTGCTCGCCCAGCCGATTTACTGGACAGGACTCGTTGGAAATACACCTGCCAGGGAATTCCTCCAAAAATTAGCAATAGTCCATAATCTAGGTAATAGAAATATTCTTCTGACTTGACTTCCCCGATCCAATCAGCTTCAATTGACGACAACGGCACAACGTGCTCGTTATACCAGGCAAACGGAATACACATCCACAATCCGATAAATATGCAAAACAACTGAATGACGTCCGTATATGCAACAGAGTATAAACCTCCAAATAATGTGTAAAATACTGCTATGCATGCGCTAAATATAACGCTTGTCCGATGATCCATGTCAATTATTACGCTTAAAGTAGCTCCTAAAGCTGCTAAAATGCCAGCAGCCCAAAACACTTCGCCACACAGCGCAGGTAGAAAAAGTAAACCGCCCATCCGTTCACCAAAACAGTCTTGTAAGGGATCTAACATAGTGACATAGCCTTGTTTCCTCATTTCGTTGGCGAAAAAAATTCCGCCGAACACCAAACTCAGTGCATATCCGAAAGGTGCCTGACACCATACCAATCCCCTCGTGTATATTGCTTCTGCAGTTCCATTTATGTAGCCACCTCCTACCCATGTAGCTGCAAAAGAACTGATTACAACAATTATCGGCGCAAACATCATCTCACCGGTCATTGTGAAGATCCCAACGAAAAGCCCAATGTTACGTCCGGCAAGCATCACCTCTTCCTCCGAATCATTTCCCTCTTCTTTTTTCCTACCTGCCCAAATGCCGACTGCGAGGATCAGTACGTAAAATATTACAATGGAAATTACTCCGGCTATATTAATCATTTTTGGTATCTAGAATTAAAGAAACCCCATTTTATCATACTTTGGGTGCTTATTGATTATTGAGTTTATAGGTTGAAATTATGCTAGAGATCAATTGCCCTTGGAAGGCAATTTCAGGGCTACTCATTCTTAAATTGTAAATGTAATTTGACAGGTGGGAAGTACGCAACATTAATTAGAATAATTATTTACCTCTTGATGCTATGACGATTTAGTATCTAATGTTGAAAACTTTAGGCTATACTTATAGTAGTAAATATCTAATAAAATATATGTGATATATAACACCGGTCCACATTTATATTTAAAACAGTTTATTTACTAAGATGGACTGCTTGTAATGTAAACAACAGTCACCCCAGCGAAGGGATGTCTTCTGCGAGGGACTGTTTCTGGTCCTAAATCCTAGGCCGCACATCGGCGCTCTTTGGCCTCATCAAACCTACGTATTCCCAGTAATTTGGAGAATATCACACGTATTGTACGCGGTCACGGCCAGGACTGTCTTGCTCCCAGAAAACCAGGTATTGATCCCGCATGACGTAAGCTCGGCGCAGGACACCATTGGGCGTCGGATACCCCGCGCCCATCGAAATGAGTAAAATTTTGAGGAAACCAAACATGATCGCGCATAGGTTTCTCTATTGGCGATGGTATTTGGCAATCCCACCCAACACCCACGCTATTCTTTTTACACCCCGTTCAACCGCCTACAAATGCGTTCGATAGTGCATTTACATCACGTTGAGGTATAAATTAACCCTTTAAGTAGGTCAAATCTACGGGGGTGCGATGCATAGTAAACCAAATATCGCACCACCGTAAGCCCTATTAACCACTTGTACCGAATTCGCGTAACAAATCCTCGTGCTAATTTTAGTTGAAATTAATTCACATCACTCTGCCTCAAATAAATCATTCAGAAAGCGTGACGTGAATTTTCCTTCTAATAAGGGCGACTATCTCGCCTTGGTTTGGTGTAATTACGTTGAACGTACCTTAGAATGTAGTAAGAGCTTTTTTTAGTTTAAAAGGCGTTTTTTGTATCGATCGTGCATCGGGAGAAACACGCTACTAGGTCCTTGATGTGACATCCCAATGCAATAATATTTAAACTTTAGATAGAGACTTACTATAAGAGTACAGGGAATCGTTTGGAGCTGACAACTTGAGAAACGCGTAACAACCATTATGCCTGCTTTTAACAGAAAGTAGGTACTTATACATAATTAAATCCAATTTGTAAGTATAGCAATTTAGTTGCCTACTACTTGTAATTCTTGCTCGATAAACAAAACTAAAATAGCCAAGTACGTTCGTTATTAATAACTGTAGACGCCCTAATAACTGATTCTAGAGGAAAACAGTGTATGTTCAAGTTGTTTGGCAAAAAATGGTAAACAGACCTGCAACACAAACATGTTTACGAGGAAATAGTGTCTTTCGAACGAAAGTGATGTAGAAAAGAACGACAGGAACACAGGCAATAAGTTTTGTGTATACGAGTAATGTTAAAGAACAAGAATGCAAAAGAATATGTTGCAAATCAAAGATGTTGTTTGTAGCGATTTAGGGAAACGGAAAAATAGTGCCATAGCAAGCAATATGTCCTCAACATAAAACCTACTTACCCTCCTACCAGAGACTTCCCGAGAATTCTCAGAGACTTCCCGGGAATTCCCAAAGACTTCCCGGGAATTGCCAAGAACTTCACGGGAATTCCCAGAGACTTCCTGGGAATTTCTGAGAATTCCCAGAGACTTCCTGAGAATTCCTAGACTTCTTGGAAATTCCCAGAGAATTCCTAGGAATTCCCAAATACTTCCCGGAAATTCCCAGAAACTACCCAGGATTTTCCATATTCATGATACTAATGGGGGTGTTCAAGCCAGATCTGGCACTTAAACTCGAGCTTATAGTCAGCGATTTTAATGAAACTTCATTTTTGTTTTAGCAGCGCAGATTTTTAGAATTAAAAAAAGCTTAAGTAATTTCAGCGTTTTAAACGAGACGGTTGTTTTTCCCATTCTTAAGTTCCATCGATCGATCGATGGCTTCATGTCCATCGTTTTAAAAGGGAACGGATGGACCAATGAACGCCAAAAAATAAGCAAGGCCCTTTTGACATCTCCGTTAGTTATGAACCGAATTGCAAGAAATTTTGTATGTAGGCACCTCGGATAAAAATAAAACTAATGCCGAAGTAGAAAATGTGTTTTGCGCATGCGCAATTTGTTTTCCAAATATTTAATTGAAATGTTATATACATCCTCGTCGCCATTGGCAGCGTCAGGCAAAGTACTATAGGCACCTCGAATAAAAGTAAACCTAATGCTGAATCAAAAAAATGTATTTTTAGCATGCGCAATCCGATTTTTTTTATTTGTTAAGAGATTTAGTTCTAGTGTTCGCAAAAACTCGACGCTAACCAAGATGCCGCGGGTGTCATCCATTGAACCTAATGTGACGTTCGATTCTGAAGATGTCTGTAATGAAAGAGATCCGTAATGAGAGAGATCGGCTCACAGCACAGGTGTATTTTCTTTAAATTACACTTTAGGTCAAAAGTCTTTGGCAAAAATCATAAACTATTAAGACCTATAATTTCATTGAAATCGTCCAAAAGTGAAGATCTCACTTGAAATCCCCCTTATCTAGAAATCCAGAGTGCGGACCTGTGAAAATAATAACTAGCTGTATGCCAAGTGCTAAGGAGATTAGTAATTGGGAAAAATCAGGAAAATTAACCTAAGCGACATTATTCCATGATTTGATTTCAAACAAAGAATACAAAACTAATAAAAACATAAACAAATAAATCATAAACTAAAAAACAAACAAATACTGTCGATGTGTAAATAAAAAAAACAGCAGCAGCAGAAAATTAGCACAAATTAAAAGTCAAACTTTTTCAGTGTTGGACATTTTTTGGTGATAACCTGTCGCTCGAATTTTGAAACTTTGAATGGGTGGGAGTCCACCATCTTAATTGGGCCATAAAATATGAATTTTTCCGTCATATCGGGAGAGCAGAAAGAGAGCAGAACCATTCCATAGTTCCCGTACGCCATATCCATTTGCCAGGAAATGTTTGATGCAGATATTCCTGTACCTTAATTCCAAAATGAGGGGGTGTCCCATCTTGCTGAAACCATATTTTTTCTGCTTGTAGATCTGGACCGTTCTTATTCAGAAACAATCGTGTAACATCTGGATCAATTGATTCTTGCAAACTTGCAAAGGTGTATCGAGCAGAGTTTAAGTTTCCAGTTATGAAATATGGTCCTACGATATTTCCACTATTAATGATTTTAATAATAATGCTTGCTGTTTCTAAGATACCTTGATGAACTATCTACAAAATTTCAATTTCAGTGTTTTAATAATTTTAATTTAATTTTTTTGTTGAAAGTTGAGAAAAGAATTAAAATATCAGATAATGTACAGGGTGTTTATTACTACGTAACACACGTTGAAGAGCTCCAAAACTTTTGAATAAAACCTTTTTGATATCTTGCATATTTTTCCCGATAATCGACCGTTTCCAGACTTATCAGCATCCCTGTATACGGGGTGGTGACTGGACTATCGCTCTATAGGAATTTCAATCGTAATTTTTTAATTTTCGATTATTGGCTCCCCTAATTATTTTAGAAATAAAGTCTATTTAGGTTTTTTTGTAGAGAAAGAAATTACGAATCATCCGTAGGTACATTCCATTGTTTCCTTTTTATAAATTCAGAAACAGTACAAAATTAAAAATTAAAACCTAGTTAAAAACTGTTGCGTTTGTAAAGTCGGTAATGCCATGGTATAATGAAATCAAACAAAAGCGCCTGCATTTGCCAATAGTTAGCTTTGCTTGATCTCGCCGATTTTCTTTAAAGTACCAGTTTTTATAGTTATCCAATTTCTTGGTTTCAAAGTTCAAAAAATTAAAAGGTATTGTATGCATGCGGATTCGTAATTTTTTTCCTTACAAAACACCTAAATAGACTTTATTTTTAAAATAATTAGGGGAGCCAATTACTATTGAAATTCCTATGGTGCGTTGTTCAAGTCATCATCCGGTATAAAGGTTAACGATTAATAAATTAATGTGTCAGTTTTGACAGGAATCTGGTTGACAGGGGAGGTAGTCGGGTAAAGTCTTACTGCCACAGTCACGGAAACAAAAATTTCCTACCATAAAGTAGGAGCAAAATACATAAAAGTCACGAAAATGACACAATACTTTTAGGACCCTTTGGGACCGAGTAGGCGAGCACTTTAACTTCCGAGCCAAGTAGTGTCATTATTTTACTGACGAGTTTTGTATTCAATTTCACACGACATCCTCTTCGTTAATATAAGGTTCAATTTGCATTACCTTTTTTGTAATGGTTAATCTGTCAGTGATGACATGAGTCATTAGAAATTACCAATGTGACAAATGCGACCGGAAAAGTGACAGGTGCGGCCGGTAAAGTGATAGGGTTCAGGGAACGTAGTCAGATAACGTGTTAATGCCAATCACTGTCAAGGAACTAAAATTGCCTGACATAACGTCTGCATGAATATGAAGCTTTTAGAACGATTTCATGTAAATTACATTACTTGGGCATTAATATCTAGACCCTTAACGAGTACGTACTTTTACTTGAACTTGACAATCTTAACTTCTCATTCATTTTTAATGGCCTGTTCAAGAAATATTTTCCTCAAATTGTATTTTATGTCTATTGGCTCCCAATACACTTCAAAGTGCTTTAAAAATTCATTCCTCTACGTAATCATCATCTTCACCAACCCATTTAAATTATTATTTCATATGACAGTCAAATCATTTATATGCATTCTAAGAAATGGGAATGGTGACAGTATATCGAATAACGTAAGCGCATTATTGACTTGATGGTAAAAATGGCTGGTTGTTGAACGTTTAAAAATCAACTAATGGGTCGTTTCATTTGATGTTTAGAACTGCACTTTTCCAAAGAAAACACTTTCAAATGACGTCACCATGCCTTTCAGATAATCATGTGTGGATAATTTGCGACAATTCAGTTGTCCCGTGAATTGATTAGGTATGTATTTATATAAACAGAAGTCTAATGTTGCTAAAACACGACCGCAGCATTCCTTCAGCAATTGGTGTAAGGTATCCAGAAATCCATGGGGTAATACTAGTCAGTACTATCATACACATCAAAGCGGTCGCCAAGCGACTGATTACTGACTGATGGCTGTGCTTCCAGATATCAAATACCAATCCATTGAGTATGTAATGACAGAAACCACAACAATAACAACAAAACTGTTTGGAAATATAAACTGAAAAATTCACTGTGGAACAGGAACGGCATCCCTACAAGGATTCGTATCAAATATCAATGCCCATGTGGTCACCGGAGTCGGTGGCCAAACCTAAATTCCAATTGGCTAAACTACTGCCTATGAATACAGCCACCTATATTTTCCGGACGTATCTTCAATTCCAGAGGTGC